GGTCCTCAGGAGTGCCAGGTACAGAACAGGCTACACTCTAGCAAGCACTTCTTGAAAGGTCTAGAGCAAATGCTGACCTGTGACTAGACTCAGACATTCCATCTCGGCTCAAGAAAACACTACGCAAATACTTAACCCTCTACCCTGCAAGACACCAATTGAAAAAAACTCTTGTCTAGGGCTCCAACAAGTCTAGTCCAGACTTTCATTCTCCTCTGCTCTTTCTGAGAATAAAAACTGTCCTGCTATCCCTCATTCTATGCCCCTACCATAAAAAGCAGACCACAGGACCCACCAGCTCTCTCTGCTATGGGATAGGTGGGTGTCCGACCATAGAGCACTTTAAAAGTCAACTGCTAGATATGAGCAATTTTTTCAAAGTTTAACTCTCACTTGCATGTCCCTGCATCATAGCTTCTCCTGCCAACCTCCATCTGCAGAAAATTAAACACTTGACAGATCCCAAGAGCCAGGGACACACCCACCAGCCCTCTGCACACTATCAGCCAGCGTGGCCACACCTCAGCCAAGGCCTTGCATCCAGCCTCAGACCCTCCAAGGATATGGGAAGGCAGACTCAAAAAAGGAGGCTTTCTCAGGAAATGAGAAGACCCTGGATTCCCTCACCCCACTCATTCCACAGAGCTGCACCCACACAGTCTCTCCCTTTGATGAACACTCATAGCCAGGGCTCCTCCCTGGCACTTGGCCAGATGCCAGTGTGAAGCAACAATCTCAGAGTGATTATGAGCTACCCACAGGCAAGAACAGCACCTCAGGCACCTCCTCCCTCATTCCAGCCCAGGCATACCCTCCATAGAAGCCAAGCACACAGGAGGTTCTCAAGGAATGAGTGAAGACCAGCTATAACCAATGGCAAGGTAAGCACTCTCCCAGGTACCCCACTGCAGAGCAAAGGGCCTATCGCAAGCCACAGACAATTAGCTTAATTGTCACCAGGTCTGCCTGCTGAGCTCCCAGAGAACAAGGGTGGTCCAGTATGACAGCATCTTTGGAATGAGGCTCCCAGCCAACTCACTCCATCTTTGCTACGTGGCTGGCCACACAGTTGACCCTCTCAGCTGTGTGAGAACAAGAATGCCTTAGAAGAAAAGAATCCAAAGCCCAAATATCCTGTGAGTGGGGAGAAGCAGAGAGCCCAGGCCTGAGGCTCAGAACCACAGAGAAAGGCTGCACCCTGGACACTTCAGGGCAGTTTAAGCACAAGCCAAAGGAAATCCTGGTTCACTTAACAGAGAACCTGTTGTCTCAGATGTGATACAAGCTGAGAAGGAGCAGCAGGTTGCAAAAATGTCCTGTAAATCCTCAGGTGGACAATGGATCTCTGCAAAGTCTGGGACATTTAAGAATGCCCCAAGCTCAAAGTGACATCCTTCCTCTTAGGGCCAGGATCTCCTGCAAGACGAGTGGGGCCATACGGTCCCAGTCAGGGGTATTCAAACTTTTGGCTTCTCTGCACCACACTAGAAGAATTATCTTAGACCATATCTTAAATACACAAATACTAACCAAAGTTAATGAGCCAAAAAAAAAAAAAAAAGTCGACTGCATAACTTTCTTGGTATCTACCACCACCACATACAGGCAAAAAAGGCCTCACATAATCAACTTGGGGCCTGCAGGCTGCAGGTTGGACATGTCTGATGGGTGTGACCGACAGCAAAAGACAACAGTCTTAGCCTGGGGAGAGACCCCAGTGCTCTCCTGCACCATCTAACACTGTCAGATTGAAGTTGGCAGCAGCTGCCCAGCAATACCTGAGGCAGGAAGATGCCAGCTCATGCTGCACGTTCACTGGGCACCTTCCAGGCACTCACAGGACAAGGCACCGCCCTCTCACTCTGCGCTCTTGTGGACAGGGTTCGTGGGCAGCTATCCCTAAAGTGACCCTTCCCCATCACCTCTCTTCTACTGGAGTGCCACAGAGCATGATGTCAGTCAAGCTGTTCCTGTGTCCACGTTTCCTCCTGCCAGCCTTCATCTGACCACTCCAGCTCACGTCCCACCTTCTCCAGGAAGTCTTCCCGCCTGAGGCATCCAGTCCTCCACCACGTCCCCACAGCCCTGCTCCCTTCCAACACAGCCCTCACCTCACTGCTCCGGGCCCGGCCTTTGGGATCTTCTGTCCCGCTGTACCACTGGGCTAGCAACTCCCTCAGTCCCAGGCGCGCGCGGTCTGCCTGTAGTTGGTTAACTAATTGTCACCGGTCTCTGCAGCCGCTGAGGAGAAACGGCGGCGCAGGTTCCATGGGGAAGTTCCGACCCCACAGCCTCCCAATGGGCACCAAACTGGACCCTGCCTAAGACCAGCAGCTCCCAGCCCTCGTGAGGGAGGAGCGTGGGCCTCGCTCACATCCAGCGGTCTCTCAGGGCCAGGCCTGGGCCGGCGGCCCCGGGGTCAGGCCCCGCTTCCCAGGAAGCCTGACAGGGAGGGGCGGCCAAGTTCCCAGCCCCGCCCGGCCCGGCCGCCGAGGAGACCGGCAGGAAGGGCGCCGCTGCTGACCTCACCATCCAGAGTTCGGGACGGGGGCGGGGGCACAGGACCGAACCCCAGACCGGTGCAGAAACAGGACGGGGGGGCGGGGGCGCGGGGCTGCGGCCCGGACCGCGCTGCGGACGGCGGGCGGCGCGACCCCCGGCTTCAGTCCCCAGCTCGAGGCCCCGCGCGGGCAGGACGCACCACCGGGCGACACCAGCCCGCAACCCAGCCCCGCGGCTGCTCGGGCGGCAGAGCCGGCAGGGAGCTCACCTGGACACGCGCCGCTCCCGGCGTTTCCAGAACCTCCCGCGGCTGTGCCCGGCCCGCCCGGCGCCT